TCATGTTCCCCTCTCTCTGTCATTCTCTCAGTTCCAGGCACCCCACCTTTTCCATCTCCCAGGGACTGGAAAAACACATGTTCTGATCACTAGGTTCGCAGGAGGGCCTGAGATTCTGCATGTTTTATTTTGGGATGGAGTCTCACTTTGTCACTCAGGCTAAAGTGCAGCAGCGTGATCTCGGCTCACTGCAACCTCCACCTCCCAGATTCAAGTGATTCTCTTGTCTCTGCCTCCCAAGTAGCTGGGACTACAGGTGTGCACCACCACCACACCCAGGTGGTTTTTGTATTTTTGGTGGAGACCAGGTTTCACCATGTCAGTCCTGACCTCAGGTGATCCCCCTCCCTTGGCCCCTCAGCCTGCTGGGATTACAGGCATGAGCCACTGGGCCTGGCCTGAGATTCTGCATTTTCAACACACTCTCTAGGGATGCCCATGCTGCTGTCCATGGACCACATGTTGGGCAGCAAGGCTTTAATTTGTTTTGTCCTCCTCATCTCTGGGCTGTTGCCTGGCAACATTCTTCTCTCAACTTTACTACGGCACCTCCTGCTCATCCTTTAGCGTTGGCTTAAAAAAGTAACTAACTTCCGGCCAGGTGCCATGGCTCATGCTTGTAATCCCAGCACTTTGGGAGGCCGAGGCGGGTGGATCACAAGGTTAAGAGATCGAGACCATCCTGGCCAACATGGTGAAACCCTGTCTCTACAAAAAAAAACAAAAAACAAAAAACAACTTCCAGGCTGGGTGCGGTGGCTCACACCTGTAATCTCAACATTTTGGGAGGCTGAGGCGGGCAGATGATCTGAGGTCAGGAGTTCAAGACCAGCCTGACCAACATGGAGAAACCCTGTCTCTACTAAAAATACAAAATTAGCCGGGTGTGGTGGCACGTGCCTGTAATCCCAGCTACTAGGGAGGCTAAGGCAGTAGAATTGCTTGAACTTGGGAGGCAGAGGTTGTGGTGAGTTGAGATTGCGTCATTACACTCCAGCCTGGGTAATAGGAGACCTCCGTTTTAAAACAAACACTTCTCCAGCCGGGTGCAGTGGCTCACTCCTGTAATCCCAGGACTTTGGGAGGCCTAGGCGGTTTGATCACTTGAGGTCAGGAGTTGGAGACCAGCCTGGCTGACATGGTGAAACTGTCCCTACTAAAGATACAAAAATTAGCCAGGCATGATGGTAGGCACCTGTAATCCCAGCTACTCAAGAGGCTGAGACAGGAAGAATCACTTGAACCTGGGAAGTGGAGGTTGCAGTGAGCTGAGATCATGCCATTGAACTCCAGCCTGGGTGACAGGGCAAGACCTTGCTTAAAAAAAATGCTGGGTGCAGTGGCTTCGCCTGTAATCCCAGGGAGGCCGAGGTAGGCCAGATCACCTGAGATCGGGAGTTTGAGACTAGCCTGACCAACATGGAGAAACCCCATCACTACTAAAAATACAAAATTAGCTGGGCGTGGTGGCGCATGGCTGTAATTCCAGCTACTCGGGAGGCTGAGGCAGGAGAATTGCTGGAACCTGGGAGGTGGAGGTTGTGGTGAGCTGAGATCGTGCCATTGCACTCTAGCCTGGGCAACAAGAATGAAACTCCGTCTCAAAAAAAAAATTGCTTCCTTAAGGAGGAGGCAGCCATCCTCAGGTTAATAAATTAGGCCACTCTGCTTCTTGCTCACAATGAAACCTGCCTTCTCCCTTTTGTGTTCAGCTGTGTCATGTGATTGCTCTTTCAGCATCAATCTTCCTAAGTATAAGCTCTGTGAGAGCAGGGTCCGGGTCTGAATTAGCCATCACTTGAATTCCCAGTGCCTGGATGCTAGCAGGCCTAAAAGAGATGTTTCAAAAATGGCTGGCTGGACTGCTATGGTGGCTCACACCTGTAATCCCAGCATTTTGAGAAGCCGAGGCAGGCAGATCACTTGAGGTTGAGAGTTTGAGACCAGCCTGGCCGACATGGTGAAATTCTGTCTCTACTAAAAATACAAAAATTAGCCGGGCGTGGTGGTGGGTGCCTGTAATCTCAGTGACTTGGGATTACAGGAAGCAGGAGAATCACTTGAACCTGGGAGGCAGAGACTGCAGTGAGCTGAGATCACACCACTGCACTCCAGCCTGGGTGACAGAGCAAGATCCAGTCTAAAAAAAAAAAAATCTCTCTTCACCTTAAAAGTTGTGACTTGCCTTCCAGAGGGCTGGAGGCTGACTTGCTTGGGGGTGAGAAGTGAAGAAGCAGCAAAAGATGAGAGGAAAGGATTGGTTTCCCGTGGCCATGGCATGGTCCTCGGGGAGCCACAGCAGCAGGGAAGGGGGCATGCAGTCACCGAGCCCTCCACCCTCCACCCTCCCTCCTCAGGCCAGCTTCACCCATCTGCAGGAGAGCACGGCTGGGTGCTGACCCTGAAATGACACTGCTGGCTTCCAGTCCCTGCCCTGACACTTTTCAGCTGTGTGACCTTGGGAAGGTTATTTGACCTCTTCGTGCCTGTTTCCTCATCTACGAAAATTAAATAATAAAATATCCCTGGTTAGGCATTCACTAAGGGTTAATTATTTATATGGAGTGGCTTGCTTAACTAGTGTAAGGGGCCATCTGGTGTGTTTCTGTGGCTTCAGCATAATCATTAATAATGACCTCAAAAGAGTCCTGCTTTGGTTGATATGGTCATTCTACCAACCCTCTGACCCCAGTTTTGGGGTCTGAAATGGAAGGAGTTTGCTTGAGCAGTGGTTCTCAAAGTGTGACCCTGGGGCCAGCAGCCTCAGCATTACGTGGGGTGGGGCCAGTCCGTGTCTTCTGAAACGTGCCCAGGTTCAACGACTGTTTCCTTCATCTTTTATACCTACTGCTTTAAAGTTCACCAGCATGTTCATGAACATTATCTGCTGAGCTTCCCAAAGGCCCTGCAGGAGAGCGTCACACAGTGGCTTGGAATGTGCATTCTGGGGCTGACTGCTCTGGGCTCCAATGTTGGCTTAACTGCTTTCAGACAGTGTAACCTTGGCTAAGTTGCCTAACTTTCCTGAGCCTCTGTTTTTCTCCTGCGAAATGGTACCCATGAAATGGGTCGCAGGGTAGTCCCGGGAGAACCTGTGTGTAATGTGCACATGGTGAGCCTTGGCCAATTGGCTACTTTAACCAATTTCGAATCTGAGGCTCAGGAGTTAATACAACCTGCACAGGTGCTCACTGTTTTTAGTAGTGCTGGGCCTCAAGTGCAGATTTCTGGCTTGAGGCTTTGAAGGCAAAGGCCTCCTTAGAGGTTGGTTCCTGACAGGTCTAGGAAGGAGTAGCTGGGAGGGAGGGCAGTATAGTCATGACTCGGAGTCAGACGTGGTTTTAATCTAGGCTCGAAGCTTAGCTGCGCAGCCCTGAGCCGTTCACTTAACGCCTCTGAGCCCCTACTTCCTCGCGCGGAAAGACATGTAAACAGCTGTCATGCCACCACAGTGACCAGTGGCTAATCCTTCTTCTCTCCCTCTGTCTTCTCCACCCCCTTCCCTGGCCTGCCCCAGTCTTGGCAGCTGGACTTACTGTTCAAGGCAGCTGCCATGGCTTTCTTGCTGTTGGCTGCGTGGTACCAGGTGACCTCCAGGGCATCTCGGCGGCTGATCTGGCCCAGGCTCAGCAGGTAGTCCAGCATGTCGGCATCGGGGCTGCAGGCCTCCAGCTCACAGCCTGGAAGGAATGCCAAGGGGCTGTTAGCATCTGTCCTTGCCCCAGCCCAAGACTCCTGTTTGTTTATCCCATGACCCTCCCTGTGACCAACACTCCACCTGGCAGAGGGACGGTGAGGCTCAAACTCACTGGTGCTGCAATAGAGGGAAAGTGAGTGGGCTTCTGGGACCCAAGGAGGCCTCAGTACCAGCCTGGGGCAGTCAGGAAAGGGGGGCAGGTTCACAGAGAAGGGAACGCTTAAGGAAGACCTTGAAAGGGTGGGTGTAAATTTCACAGAAAAGGGGGAATGGGTTATTCCAGACAGAGAAAAAGCAAAGGCTTGGCTTCAGGAGAGCGTAGTTGCCTAAAGGAAGAGCCATTGGCCTGGTAGAGATGGAACACAGAAGTAGAATGTGGGAATGTTGGAAGGGGGGGCCGGACACAGTGGTTCATGCCTGTAATCCCAGCACTTTGGGAGGCTGAGGCAGGTGGATCACCTGAGGTCAAGAATTCCAGACCAGCCTGGTCAACATGGTGAAACCATGTCTCTACTAAAAATACAAAAATTAGCTGGAGGGACATGGTGGCAGGAGCCTGAGGCAGGTGAATCATTTGAACTCAGGAGGCGGAGGTTGCAGTGAGCCGAGATCATGCCACTGCCCTCCAGCCCGGGTGATGGAGAGCGGGACTCCATCTCAAATAAATAAATAAATAAATAAATAAAAATAAAAGATTGGAAGAGGGCTGGGATCAGGTCATGAATGGCTTTGAACTTTAGTCAAGGAGCTGGTGTGTGCTGAGGGCAGTGAGTGAGGGCTGCTTGGCATGATCTGGGCTGCAGAGCTAACATGAGCTGACAAAAGCAGGCAGAGAGACCTTGTAAGAAGGGTCCAGAAGGAGACCTTGAAGCTTCTCTGAGGGCAGGGTGGGGAGGATAGAGGGCAGGGCCGGGAGGATAGAGGGCGGAGGGAAAGGCAGAGCCCTCGAGGCTCAGGACTGATTCGCACAGCCATGAGGCAGGGGCATGGGGCCTAACCGAGGTCCCTGTGTGAATGGAGGAGCCTTTCACAGAGTCCTTCACAGCGAGCAGCTGTTGGGGACAAGGATGAGCTCAGCCCAGTCTGCTGAGTTTGAGGTTGCTTGTGTGACTCCCAAGAAGGGCACAGGAGGGAGGTCTGGGCTGAAGGCCAAGATCTGATATTCTTCAGGCAACTGAAGAAGGGAAAAAAAGTTAAATGGGGCCGGGTGTGGTGGCTCATGCCTGTACTCCCAGCACTCTGGGAGGCCAAGGAGGGTGGATCACCTAAGGTCAGGAGTTTGAGACCAGCCTGGCCAACATGGCGAAACCCCGTCTGTATTAAAAATACAACAAAAGTAGTCAGGCATGGTGGTGCATGCCTGTAATCCCAGCTACTTGGGAGGCTGAGGCGGGAGAATCGCTTGAACCCAAGAGGTGGAGGTTGCAGTGAGCTGACATTGCGCCACTGCACTCCAGCCTGGAGGATAGAGTGAGACTCCATTTAAAGGAAAAAAACCCACAAAAAATTAGCTGGATGTGGTGGCACACATGCCTGTAATCCCAGCTATTTGAGGGGCTGAGGCAGGAGAATCGCTTGAACCAGGAAGGCAGAAGTTGCAGTGAGTCAAGGTTGCCGCATTGCACTCCAGCCTGGGCAACAAGAACAAAAACTCCCTCTCAAAAAAAAACAAAAGTTAACGGGACTTTCTGCTGGGGATGAAGTCACATAGGGTTGGGGGATGGAAGAGACAGAGAGAGCTGAGGATGGGGAATGATGCTTGACAGGGATGAGGGATCAAGAGCTGGTTGGCCGGGCACGGTGGCTCGTGCCTGTAATCCCAGCACTTAAAAAAAAAAACCCGATCAGAGCTGAAGGTGGGGATAAGGAGCGAGCAATGGGGGAAGCCACTCAGGTTGGCACTGGGGGAGGCACCTACCTGGCTGCCGCAGGGTGATGGCAAGGACTATGGCGGCAATGACCACCACAGACACACAGGTGATGCCTGCAAACACCCACTTGCCCCGATTCTTTGATAAGTGCTCCGTGCAGGCCATGACGGCGCTCTCTGGGGAATGTCCCCAACTCCAGGCGGGCCAGAGTCCCCAAGGCTCCCTGCAGCTGGGATCCTGTGGGAGACAGGAGCTCCCAGCAGCACCTAATTCTCCACGAGGCCTGGTCTGCTCTGCAGCCCCGGAATGTCCCCGACGGGAGATAACCCCTGAAGCCCCTCCCCCCTCCCCGCCCTACTCCTCTTCTCCACACCCTCCTGGGATCACAACAGGCTAACCAGAAAATCTGCCATCCCTAAAATGACCTTTGAGCACAATAAGAGGCAGCAGAGAATGTTGGACTGAGCCCAGACCCCTGCCTGTCTGCCCCTGCCTGGGAGTCAGGAGACCCATCCCAGCCTCTGTTGCTTTTCTGGAGTCTTGGAGCAAGTGTCCGACCCTCTCCTGGCCTCATTTCCTTCTGTGTAAAAGCCTAATATTCTATTCTTTCCCTTTCTAACTCCAGGCTTTCTGCCCTGCCCTCAGGGAATCCTGCCTATCAGGCAAGGGTGGTGACAAAGACAGATTAGATCTGCCTAAGGGGCAAGAATCTTCCTCTCATCCGAGATTACGGCTAATAGATGATCTACCTGGGATAGAAACTGATAGTCCTGGCATGCTGGCATAGGTGACTGCAGGCCAGTTCTGGGGCAGCGAGTCCATGGGGAAGAGGCTGAGTCACCACTTCACGCAGAGGGAGTTCTGGGGGCCCTAGTATAGGAAGCAAGCTAGAGGCTGCCCCTGTTCTGAGGATCCTGGAATTTGAATGGGTCCAGGAATCACCTGTAATGTGTACAGAGACTTCAGAGTCTACAGGCTGGACTCAGAGAGATCCAGCAGGGCCCCTGGTGGCTTTCACTGTGTGTGTGAAAGGGTGTCGAGAATGATGCCCGAGTGGGCAGGTGTCAGGAACTGAGGGATGGAGGGGCAGGGCGGGAGGGATTTTGGTCATGGGGGTTGTCGCGAGTCATTCCTGAGTGGATTCTCCTGCCTCAGCCTCCCCCAGGAGGGAACTGGATATGGAGGTCGCGGGCTCAGGACTGAGATCAGGGCCAAAGACAAGGGCATGAGCATCATTTTCTGGCCAAAGCAGAAAGAGAAAAGGATGGAGGCTGACTTCTGGGGACCATTGACAGGCAGATAGCTGGAGGAAGAGGCATCAGTAGAGAGGGGACAGCAGAGGGTGGTGGGCAGTGTCAATGGGAAGGTCACTTCAAGAAGAAAGGAGAGGTCAGCCAGGCCTGGAGATGGAGCCCAGTAAGGACAGCAAGGGCCCCCTGAGGCTGCCAGGACCGTTTCCCTGGATCAGTGGGGAGGGCAGCAGTCTGAGCAGAGCCTGTTTAGCTGGGGTGGGAAAGACCAGAGAGGCTGAAGGTACAGGAGGGAGAGGCTCTGGGCAGAGTGAGGATGGGAGCAGGAGAACCTGGCGCTCAGGGGGTGCTATCCTGTAGGATGTGGGCAGATCACGAGGTCAGGAATTCAAGATCAGCCTGGCCGATGTGGTGAAACCCCATTTCTACTAAAAATACAAAAATTAGCCAGGCGTGGTGGCATGTGCCTGTAGTCCCAGCTACTTGGGGGGCTGAGGCAGGAGAATTGCTTGAACCTGGGAGGTGGGTTCAAGGTTGCAGTGAGCTGAGATTATTGCACCATTGCCCTCCAGCCTGGGTGACTGGGTAACAGAGCCAGACCCTGCCTAAAAAAAAAAAAAAAAATCTAGAGAAACAACAAACCACCAGAATTATACAATGTGGCTCCAGGGTTGCCCCCAAGCCCCATACTGATGAGTCTCACCTAGTGTGGCTTGCATTTTTTTCTGCTTTCATTAATAACACTATCTGTGATTTCCTACAAAGTGTCCCACATTTTAATTTCATCTATGTGTCACACAACACTGCCAAATGGTTCTCGTGTCTTCATGTTGCAGGCAAAGAAATCAAGGCTCGGAGAGGTCAGGACTTGTCCCACGTCACCTCAATGTCAGGTTCAAATGCAGGTTGGGCTGCCTGTGGGCCTGTCTGCCTGACTTTATCCACCTGCTGGCCTCTTCCTGTTCATGCCCATTTACAATGGGACAGTCACGTCTTCTGGCAAGAATATTTAACAGCAATGCTGGACAAATCTGTTTTTGAAAGAAAAATCAAGAACTTAGTTCTTACAGTCCATGAGGTCACCCCCAGCACAAACTATACTCATTCTGAAAGATGCTTATTTGGTGTTCCTGACACTCTTATAAGGGAGGCATTTTTTTTTTTTTTGAGGCAGAATATTGCTCTGTTGCTCATGCTGGAGTGCAGTGGCATGATCTTGGCTCACTGCAACCTCTGCCTCTCTGCCTCAGTCTCCAAGTAACTGGGATTACAGGTGCATGCCACCATGTCCGGCTAATTTTTGTATTTTTAGTAGAGATGGGGTTTCACCATGTTGGCCAGGTTAGTCTCGAACTCCTGACCGCATGATCCACCTGCATCGGCCTCCCAAGGTGCTGGGATTACGGGCGTGAGCCACCACACCAGGCTGAGAGAGGCATTCTAAGTTCCCACCATTCACAGAAGGGAGCTGGAGTCACTTTGCAGCAGAGGAGTGCCTGCGCCCCCTCATTCCGACTCTGCAGGCCGTGTGTCCCTGTGCTTCCTGGGAAAGAAGCCAGCACGCCGAGCTCTGAGGCACGAGCCTCGCCGCCTCTCTTGGCTCTGAGGAGCACTGCGGGCTGTCTAGGAGAGAGTTCATCTGGCTCTGGCTTTTGGCAGAAGGAAGAACCCTGGAACTGACTCCAGACTGTAGATTCCTCCATTGCCTGTGACACTTCTCGTGGGGCATGAATAACTACATAAGTCACTGAGCACTCATTCTGTGCCAGGCACTGTGCTAGGCTCTGGGGATCCACCCTGTGACATTGTGGGAGAGAAGAAAGCAGGGGCTGTCGCAGGCTCCAGCATTTCAGATGGGAAACGGCCATTTTATTACCAGAGTTGGTGCACATCAAAAACACATAGCAGGCTCATAGCCTGTAACGGTGTCACACATGGAAAGTGGCAGTGGACCCAGGTGGGGGCATGCAGGGTGGAGGAGACACAGGTTAGGAACCCCAACCTCCTGGGTGGGCCAGGAGGCTTTCAGAAGAGGATTTGTCTGAGCTGACTGAGAGAACCGTCAGGGATGGGGGCTAGGGAAGATCTTCCAAAGGGCACAGTGTGTGTGGGAGAGGGCCTAGGCATGAGGAGAAGAGCCTGTTCAGAGCATGAGCAATGCAGTGTGGCTGGAACACCAGGTGGGAAATGGGGGCAGGTGGAGTGGGCGAGAGACGACACTGGGGAGCCCCGGAGTACTGGGTCACCCTGATAAAGAACTTGGCTTCGGGCTGCGCAGTGGCTCACGCCTGTAATCCCAACACTTTGGGAGACCAAGCTGGGCAGATCACAAAGTCAGGAGTTCGAGACCAGCCTGGCCAACGCGGTGAAACCCCATCTCTACTAAAAACACACACAAAAATTAGCCGAGTATGGTGGTGAATGTCTGTAATCCCAGCTACTTGGGAGGCTGAGGCAGGAGAATCGCTTGAACCTGGGAGGCGGTGGCTGCAGTGAGCTGAGATGACACCATTGCACTCCAGCCTGGGCAACAGAGTAAGACTCTGTCTCAAAAAAAAAAAAAAGAACTTGGCCTTCAACCTGAAGGGGTTGGGGAGCCCTCACCCATGGGATAAGCAGGGAGTGCCACACTCAGCTTTGCATTTGGGAGGGTGGCTGGAAGCTGGAGTTGACAAATGGCTCCTGGAGGCCTGACTGCCTTTGCATTCAGGATGTCCTGTTTCAGCACTGCACCCCCCCAAGAGCCACAGGACTTCCCACACTGCACTGCTCAGAACAGCAAATGGCCCAGGGAAGTGTGTGTGCCTCAAGCTGTGTTACGTGGGTTACTTTGATACTCTCCCTGCTCCCACACCATGGCATGTTATAGGGGAGATGAAACCAGGGGTGGCTTGGAGGCTCCAATATTTCAGATTCAGAGCTGCATCTTTAGAACTGGTATTGGCCGGGCACAGTGGCTCACGCCTGTAATCCCAGTACTTTGGGAGGCTGAGGTGGGAGGATTACTTGAGCCCAGGAGTTCGAAACTAGTCTGAGCAATGCAGGGAGGTCTCATCTCTACAAAATAGAAAAATAAATTAGTGAGATGTGGTGGTGCATGCCTACAGTCTCAGCTACCCAGGAGGTAGGGGGATAGTGCCCTTGTACTCTATCCCGGGCAACAGAGCAAGACTCCATCTCTGAAAAGAAAAGAAGAGAAAAGGAAAGAAAAGAAAAGGAAGGAAGGAAGAAAAAGAAAGAAAAGAAAGAAACTCATTTGCCTATTTTGACGCTGTCACATTGTAGGAGAAAAAAAATTCTTCTAAAAATTAATGACCACAGGCTGGCCCTCACACAGCTATTTGGTCCTAATTCACACTGAGTAGGTGGTCTAAACACTCTAAGTGATAGAATTTTATTTCAAGTGTTTTCATGTAGGTGGTGCCCCAAAATTACTACTACAAGCAAAGCAAGTTTTCTCACTGCAGCCTCCGCCTCCCAGGTTCAAGCAATTCTCCTGCCTCAGCCTCCCCAGTAACTGGGACTACAGGCGTGTGCCACCATCCCCAGCTAATTTTTCTCTTTTGTATTTTTAGTAGAGATGGAGTTTCACCATGTTGGCCAGGATGGTCTTGATCTCTTGACCTCGTGATCCGCCCACCTCAGCCTCCCAAAGTGCTGGGATTACAGGCTTGAGCCACTGTGCCCGGCCAGAACAAACATTTCTAACAAGGAACAGAGGCTGGGTGTGGTGGCTCGTGCCTGTAATCCCAGCACTCTGGGAGGCTGAGGTGGGCAGATTACTTGAGGTCAGGCATTCAAGACCAGGCTAGCCAACATGGTGAAACCCCATCTCTACTAAAAATATAAAATTAGCAGGGTGTGGTGGCTCATGCCTGTGATCCCAGCTACTAGGGAGGCTAGGCAGGAGAATCACTTGAACCCAGGAGGCAGAGGTTGCAGTGAGTAGGGATTGCACCACTGCACTCCAGTCTGGATGACAGAGCAAGAATCTGTCTCAAAACAAACAAACAAACAAACAAACAAACAAACAAAAAAAGCAAAACAAAAGAACATAGCTTCACTCCAAGC